AACTGCGGACCTGCGCCTTTTTCGCCGAGCCCTGAAAACCCATCTATTTCGTGCGGCCGGCCTGGCGTAGTCTTAATTAGGTTTTAGTATAGGTTTTTATATGGGGTATTTTAGAGCAGGCCTTTATTTATTTAATTTGATTTTAGAATAGATATTTATTGTGATTTTTATTATCGCCTGTTCACCGCCCTGAGTCCCGCCCGTAAGGGAGATAGGGCGGTATACAAATCTAAATAAACATAAACATAAACAAACATGTGGTGACCAGCTTTATGACTGTCGTGATTTACAACCAAAATTCTGGGCTCAATCACGGTCGTAGGTCAAGGACTACCTGTAATTGCAACACAAGGAACATATCTGTCCGTCCCGTGTGTGAAAAAGACGACTTGCCTTCCCATATCGTGACAGTAGGAAACCATGCCATACAGCTTCTGTTGTCCCACGTTTTCCATCACCACCATCGTGCTGATTCTGAATATGTCACCAAAGCCATAATACAAGATGCAATCGGCTCTCTGGTCATCCCGACCTGGAATGAGTTTTTTTTAATATATATATATATATATATATACATACATACATTTTCACCCGCAGCTAAGAAACACAAATTTTATAAAGAACAAACTATATTTGATAAGATTTTGTTAACTTCAGATGAGAAATTAATTAATTTTTTGTTGATCCTGGAAATGGAAAGCGAACAAGTTAAAGAAACAACGATAAGATGGGCGAAAAACTTTGGTTATAATATAGAACTAGAAAAGTGGCAAAAGCTAAGGGAGAGAAAATTATAAATTGACAATGTCAACCTCCTATAAAGAAAATTGATATAAAATGTTTTACAGATGGCACTTGCCACCAGCAAGATTAGCAAAAATGTTTAAAAATATGTCAGATAGATGCTGGAAAGGTAAGTACAACTCAGGCACTTATTATCATGTTTGGTGGACATGTGGTAAAGCTAAAGTCTATTGGAAAAAGATACATGCCTGGTTAGAAAAAATGTTGGGAGAACATGTTGATTTTAAACTTGAACTTTTCTTATTAGGTATAATGCCAGAAAAGATTAATAAACAAAGCCTATATTTTACACGTCACAAGGGAAAATAAAGGATTACCACCGGAGGAAGAACTAATCAGAAAAAATATTGGAATGTGCAGAGATGGACAGATTAACTATGAGATTGAAAGATAAAGAACAAACAGAATATTACCAAACTTGGGATTTATTCTATCAATGGCTAGAGGAAAGAATGAAGGATTAGGAACTGAATATGTATTAGCGTTTTTATACCCAGACAGCACGTTGGTTGAAAAATTAATATATGTATGTAAGAGAAAACTAATAAAATCTTTATAAAAAAAACCCCCACAAATTTCTCCCAAGCATATGTCCTCACTTAAGTATACCTGCGCGTCCACTCTCTTGGTAGTAATTTTCCATGGATTTACTCATGGAATGATGTATGACAAATCTCACGTCTGGTTTATCGATTCCCATGCCAAAAGCCACAGTGGCCACCACAACCTGAAACATAAAAGACGACGGAAATCAGGACTAAGTCATCCCAGCTGAATAGAAAAACTTCTGTGTCACAGACTCCACCTGGATTTCGTTGGCACACCACCGCTTGTGAACTCTGCTCTTATCTTTGGGCTCCATATTTGCATGGTAAGTACCTGCTTTAATCCCCAGTTTTTGCAAGCTCATAGTAACTTGCTCAGCATCTTTCTGGGAAAAGCAGTAGATAATTCCTGTATCAACAAAATAAGTAAGACTGTTTAACATAATAGAATATAGGCAAAAGAGAGAGGAGTTATTTAACCCATTTAGAATAGCAGGTATTCAGCAGGGGTAAGTGTGTTTCATGTATAATCATTCGGCGAACAGAACAGTTGATATTGGGTGATTTATGCTTGAACTGAAACACGCATAAGGCTGTTTTATTCCTGATATTGGCCAAATGTTGGCTGTTCCTGGGAGAAGGATTTCCTTTGGAGGGAGGCTTAACAGCAGGAAAAAGCCAAGGTTTAGGGCAAGGGTGTCAAACTGGCGAGTCGCGGGCTGGATGCATCACGCACAGGCCACGCCCACCCCGGCTCCGCAAAGGCAAAAAAAAATCACGTGACGCGATCGAGTTTGACACCCGTGGTTTAGGGCAGTGATGGCGAACCTTTTAGAGACCGAGTGCCCAAAAACCGCCTCGCCCCTGCCCCGTCCCCGCATCTCCTGCCCACAGGGCCACCCACCACCTCCATGGCCCGCCACAGCAGATCGCCCAGGTGGCCCAGCAGCGTCATGGCAGCCACGCCCTCTGTCTGTGCCTCGCAGCAGCATCTGTACGCGATGGGGTGCGAGGGTGGAGTCTTGTCCCCGCTGCCCGGCTGCCATGTCCTTGGCTGTGCTGCTCTGCACAGGCTGCACCCGGGGCGACTCTCCTCCAAGGGGGCTGCTGGTGAGGAGGGGGCCACGGGGAGTGGCAGGGCTGGGGCAACAACGTGCATGCCCACAGAGAGGGCTCTAAGTGCCGCCTCTGGCACCCGTGCCATAGATTCGCCACCACTGGTTTAGGGGTTGTCTTGATCATGATGGCAGTAGATGAGGAGGAGGAGGGGAGAAAGGGATGAAAACGTTGAGAAGATAGGAGGCAAGCAGCTCAGTGGGATTTCAATAGAATATCTGTAGCTCAGGGTTGAACTGTGGGGTCCTTGGTACTTTCTGAGCTTTGGTCGTTTTCTTGAAGATGTTTCATTACCCAACTAGGTAACCTCATCAGTATTAATAGGGAATGAGGTTTCCTCTCATTTTACAAAGTACTGGCTTGCCCTGTCTTGCTGATTCCTTGATTGGGTTATTTACTGTTATTTGGCAGTTCTTTAACTGAGTATTGTTTGCTTCTTGATTGTTAGTCTACTGTTAAATCTTCGTGTTAATCTGTGCTCATCTGGTTGTTGTCGAGAAGGTGTTTTGGTCTTTTTGTTTCCTCTCTGGCTTTTTGATTGTCTCTTTTGAAAGGTATGTAGGTGTTGTTTATGTCTGTGTGCCTGTTGATGGTGAATTTGCCTGAGTGCCAGGCTTTCAGGAATTCTCTAGCAGTGGGATTTGCTATGATGGAACACTGGTGGCGGCAGCCGATGGGAGAGAAAGCCCTAGGGCAGGGGTAGGCAACCTTGGCTCTTTTGTGACTCGTGGACTTCAACTCCCAGAATTCCTGAGCCAGCCATGCTGAGGGGAAAGGGAGAGGTTTCCAAGCTGAGCCACGCTGGCTCAGGAATTCTGGGAGTTGAAGTCCACGAGTCATAAAAGAGCCAAGGTTGCCTACCCTTGCCCTAGGAAGATGGACGGGGGGCAGTTTTCCCTTACTTCTCCTTTAAAACCAGTCCGCCATTGCTGAAGTTTTGTTTCAGCCAAAACCCAGAACACACATACACACACACACAAATCCACAGCAAGTTTTTAAGAAGGCAATGTGGGTGTTTTTGTTAGATTCAAAACAATACACATTTTCTATTTTGAACATGTCCTCAGTACTCAGATAGGGT